GCCACTTCGGTGACATTTGCGTTCAGAAGAGAATCTTTCCTTGACCATATGCATGAACTCAATGAAAATAAACAACCCAGATGCTCTTATTATTTAGGTTCTTGCTTATAAGTTACACCGCATCATCCTTGTGTATTCATCCCACCATTACCAACAATCTTTTCATTCACACCGAGCACATGATTACTATGGTCGATCATTTCCTCCATGGATGGTGGCTTGCTTGGTCCAGAGGGTGGTATTCTCCTCCATGGTGGTGTGGACGGTGACCTTCTATGCCCAGAGGGTGGTGACTTTCTATGCCCAGAAGGCGGTGATTTGCTAGGCCCACAGGGTGGTATCCTCCATTGTGGTGGCATCTCCACCAAGGGTGGCGGATGGCTAGGCCCGGAGGGTGGTACTCTTCCTCGTGGTAGCAGATCCCCAACCCCGTTAGGTGGCATCGCCACCATGGAAGGAGGCTTCCTAGGTCCGACAGGTGGTATTAAACATGGTGGTGGCATCGCCACCAAGGAAGGTGGATGGCTAGGCCCAGAGGGTGGTACTCTCCCCCGTGGCAGCAAATCCCCAACCATGCCAGGTGGCATTGCCGAGTCATCGTATGGCTGTGCATCTGCCTCCATCATCAAAAGTGTGGTCAGTAGTGTCATTGCCACCACGACCACAATTGGTGATGTGGTCGCTCCGATGATATTATTCTTGTTGCTAGCCATGGCTAGCTTGTGAATTTTTTCTTCTCTTTTTGTGGATCTATGTGGATGGGAGGGTATTGTGGTGGATGGAAGTTGGGCCCCCTCTATATGTAGTCGAGCCTGGCTTGTAAATAAGGCATGCATATGGAAATCAATCGAACTAGTGGAATGCTTTTATTTGTCCCTCACATATGTTTGGCTCGCATTTATAGTTTCTTGTATTTATCAAATATATATATATATATATATATATATATATATATATATATATATATATATATATATATATATATATATATATATATATGTGCTCAAATGGAAAACTTCTATTGCACTACTGAATAGTTTTAGCTTGCATTTATAGCTTCCTTAACTTTTCAGAAGTACGTTCAAATAGAAGACTGATTTTGGAATTTGTTTAGTGCATCTTTGTGTTTTGCCACCTTTTTTGTTTCTTAATTAGTCCTTACTAAATTCTCTCTATCTTTGAGACATAACATCAACTCTTCATTTACTACTAGTTTTGTATAACTCAATATATCAATATGTTATAATTAAGCCAATTGTAATTATAAGTCCCTTTAAGCCAATTGGACTTCTATGCCCGCTCTAAATTTTTTCTTCCCTTTGGGGCCCTTTCCGTCAGTTGGCATTTTTAAAGCGGGTAAAGGAGCCCAAACAATTATTTCGAGGGCACAGAAGGGCAACCACTTTTTCTAGGGGTACGTAGGGAATTCTCTCTATATAAATGAGTTTTACTAGCGGTAGTTTTTGTATCTTTATTTACAGGCGGTTTTGTGAACCACCAGCATGAAAGATAATGAGTGCCCTTTCTGTCAACTGGCCATTAACTTTTAAAGCAAGCATAGGAGTCCGAACGATTATTTCAAGGGCACAGAAGGGACAACCACTTTTTCTAGGGGTACATAGGGAATTCTCTCTATAGAAATGGGTTTTACTGGCGGTATATACATGCGGTTTTGTGAACCACCGGCATGAAAGATAATGAAAATGATGATGTTCCATTGGCGTATGCTTAAGAACCGCTAGTGTAGATCTATTTACACCGGTTATTATTGGCATTACGATGCCGCTTGTGTAAACAAATTTACATTGGCGAAATACTTAATGTTAACCGCTAGTGCTAATGTTTATACTGGTGGTTTGTGTAACAAAGTTGCCTGTGTTAATTAATATCTACAGGCGGCTCAATAACGTTAACCATCTGAAAAAGATATTTAAAAAAAATGAAATGTTCACTACTACTGAAATGGTCTTCAGATGCGGCAATTTTGGATTTCTAGAGTTGGGCACAGCTTCAGTCGCTATTAATTAGCCATTTTCCAAAGGTAGGAGCCATGGCCGCCTCTGTTAATTAACTAAGACGTACGCCCAAGAATAACTTTGTTAATGGTATTAACAGAGGAATCACCTTAAGACGTTCGCCTCTGTTAACTCTTAACAGATGTAGACATAACTAAAACGGTCGTCTCTGTTAATGCTTTGTAGATTTGAATTATTTGGTGGTTTCCTGGCAGCAGTAAGAAATACAACAATCATATATCTATTTTGCGTGCTTAATTTATTTGATCACAAGCATAATAAAACTAAAAGAAATATTCTGCCTCATCAACAAATTAAATCCGGTCTATCTTGTCCTAACATTCCTATGAATCAATGAATAGTTACTCAGTGCCGACGGCCCGTATGTCTCCGGCGGTGGCGCATGGTGGTGGTAGGGAAATCCAGGGCGGCCGGAGGGCACCAGAATAATGTACGGCGGCTCCACCACCGAGGCCGCCTTACGCGGAGGAGGAGACGACGACGCTTGCCCCATATTCTGCGGCGGAGGATAGCTGACCACGGGACCCCAAGGCCTCGGAGGAGGGTCGGAGAAGGGTGTGGGTAGTTCGACGATGCTTCCACCCAACGGGCGCGCCGCCCACGCTGTCGAGGACAGCATCAGCGCCGGCAGCAGGAGGAGGAGCGCGGCGATCACAGGTGCCGTCGTGGAGGCCCTTTGCACCGCCATTGTCGGAGCTAGCAGAGCAGCTACCTGTGGCCTGTGCGTGGCTGAGCTTCTCTGGATCGATCGGTCGATCTTGGATCTGTCGCAGACTCGCAGCGTTTTCTATATATAGCGTGCACTCAGTAGATGGCTCCGGTGCAGTGCGTTTGCTACTGACCTAAAAATAGTGATCCTTTATTAATCCATCTCAGAAAAATAGCGACCTTAAAAAAATTGCTATATTTCAGGTATCTTAATCTTACAAAACTAATTAGTATATAATTAAAAGGATATAATTCACAATTTTTTCTACACTTCTCCTATACTTCAGGTGCATTAATTTTTCTTGTTGTTTTACTTAACATGCAATTTGTCAATGTTTGACTATATAAACAACATTATAAATTATTTCTTGTGAGTTGTGTATTTAGTTGTATGTAAGATTATCATCTAAAATCAACTTAAAATTCAGACACCTTACCAGGAATATAGAAAAAAATTCTATCAGTAATGTTGGGAAGCGGGCGTCCGCCAGCCTGGATGCCCATGTTGGTGGGCCCCGACGACCAAAAGGCTCCGCAGTTTCTGAAAAAAACTGACGTAGCGCCGCGGCTGCGCTCAGTCACGTCTCTCGCCCGCCCTCCTCTCCACCGTGCCTCCCACTGTCTTTCCTCTCCACCGCCGACGCACCATCACCGCAGCAGCATGCTCCCCCGCGACCACACAGCCGCTGTTGCCTCACCGCACGAGGCCACACCCGCCCGACTACTGCTGCCGCCTCCACCGCGGGCAGGGCACCGCTCACCGGTAGGGATGGCAACGGGCGGATTCAGATCGGGTGGAGTCTCTATGCACCCGAACCCGAAATCGAAACCCTAAACCGCACAGAACACCGTTTCGGGTGATAATCCGCCCCCAAAACCAACTAATGGATACTCGAAACCCACTTTGTATGGCAACATAGTAAGACCAATAAGGACTTTCTATAAACATATGCATGATATATATACATATATTCACATGTATAAATAAGAGGCAACAAATAATAAATATTTTCATGAGTCAATTTAGAATAAATTTGATAATCTAAGTAAACAAGTTTTTATTAGCATATTATAAAACATGAGTTTTAATTCCGAACAATTTATTTCGGATATGCATTGGATATCCATGGGTGGAAAACCAAACCTGAAACCGAACCCGAGAAGCGTGGGTGAGAAATCATCCCCGAACCCAACCCCGTGAGACCCGAAACCCGTGGATATCTGATGCGAAACTGGCCCATTGCCATACTTACTCACCGGGGGCCACGCAGCCGCCTGCCCGCTGCCATCCTTCATCTCCACCACGACTGCACAGTCGGATCTGGCTGTGTAGTTCTCCGTTCGCCCGCCCGCCCGCCAGGTTTTGCTAAAAGCGCATGTTGCAAGCGTATGTTTCAAATATTTCAGAGGTATATTGAGTGTTTCATATAGATGTTGCAAAAGTAGATCGGGTTTGCATATGTTACAATGGCTATATACGTATTTTACAAGTGTCTATTCCAAATGTTACACCTAATTTTTCAGACGTATGTTGCAAGTGTGTTTATCTGGATGTTGCATATGTTTTGACACATATGTTGCAAATGTTTTATCTGAATATTGTATATATTTTGCAATGATTTTTAAGTCTTTTCAGGTGTTTTTGCAAGTGTTTTAGACGTACGTTGCAAGTGTTACAGCTATTTCGGACATATGTTGCATGTGTTTTATTTGGATGTTGCAAAAGTAGATATCATATTGCACATATTACAATGGGACCCACATGCTGCAGATGTTGGGGTGCCGCCGAGCGGGCGCAGATGTTCCCGCAGGCGACGTCCGGGCGGCATGGGCCCCGTGTTGGCGCGCGAAACGGTGTGAAAAACGGACTGCAGGCGCTGGCGTCCGTCTGGGCGTTAGCAGTGCCGTTTTTCTATAGCAAAATTATGATGAAATTATATGTTGTTTATTTAAATAGTAGTGAAAAAAATGAAACACCTGACCCGTAAAAAGTGATTGATAAAAAAAAAGATGGATCGGAACTTGGAAGAGCAGTGCATGGGGCTTGAGACTTCCGATCGACCTACGTACACTTCGGTGAAAACATCATCACAATTTTACATGGGTTCTACTTTTGAAGTTTATTTCTCCAATCATCAAGAACGTACGTAACGTATTTATTTATATATATGGTATATAGCTATATATATTATACACAACAAAAAAACAACTTATTCGTCACAAGATGAAAGCAAGCACATTTCGTCGACACCGGCGCTAGTAGTAGGCAGACGGCTGTGGTTGCTTCACTGGGTTGGGTGACGGAGGATGGGTCGGCGCTGGAGGAACAGGAAATCGCCTTGCAGCCGTCGTGGTCGTCGTCGGCGGTGGCGGGGGCCCGATGATTATGAGATCGTGGGGGAAGCGAGGGGGAGGAGGGGAGGCGGCGATCCTTCCGGCGGCCAAACGCAGGCGCGCCGCCGACACTGACGCCGTGGAGGAGAGCATGAGGCAGCAGACGAGGAGCGCCGCCGCGATGGCAGGCGTCTTGGTGGCCGGCGTTTCCTTCTTCATGTGCCCCGCCATGATATTGTCGTAGGTAGTAGATACTAGCTATAGAGATGATATTGCAATTTGCAAATCTCGTGCATGGGGCACTATATATAGGGTGGAACTCGATCGTCCGAAAGCTGGAGACAGGTGTGCGCTATGCGAGCGATCACAGCAGTAACTCTCGGAGGAATTGATCATTGATATCATTTGCCATATGTATATGCAATAATTAATAAGGGCGCGATAATGACGACATGGAGCGTTTCATCGAGCACGGATTTGCCTCGCTTAAATGATTTTTTTGTTTTGTTTTTATAATTTTCCATTTAGATGGAACGGTAGATTTAGCAAATGGCAGGAAGATTTCAGAATGAAATTATAACGAGAGCAATATTTCATATCTTCGTGACAAGTATTAATAAATCATTGAGTAATTTGATCGACATTTAATACTCAGATTATAAACAAAATTGATTTTCACATGCTCCCTATTTTTTAGGCAAAGGTGGCGCTCTATCAAAAATCACCTATAAATAAAATTCGTTCTAGAGATTGTCCGCTAGAAATGGCCTCTATATTAAGACGCGATTGATAGTACCAGCATTATCTAGAAATCTCAGAAATCTCATTTCAAAGGCGGTAATTTTTTTCCAACCGCTTCCAAAAACAAAGGCATTTGTAGAGGTGGTTGAAAACATCACATACCTTTAGAAATCGATTTCTAAATGCTGTTTCGCGATGTAGCTCGCCTAAAAAATAAGAGCAATACATAAATTTGTAACTTTTTCAAATCAGTCGGTTGAAAGCAAACTTATCAAAATTGTAGAACTCGGAAATATCTGTAATTTTGTAGCTAACGAAATTTTCATTTAAAACTACTTAGTATCTTGAAGTTAAGTTGTAAGTTCCCAAATTTTGAAATCTAGTATTTTTGAATTTTTAAACAACAGAGAGGCACGCTATATGTTCAATGAGATCTAAAATTTTATAGTTTGATCCTTTTTCATTTAAATTCATTTAGCTATCGAAATATGCACCGCAAGATTTCCGAATGTTAATAGAAAAAACAGCATCCCACACTTGGTCACAAGTGGCCCCACTACGTATTGGTATAGGGAGGCTTACGCGAGGCTTGAGTTTGGGAGTTCAAATCTATAGCGGCATATGTGTGTATTTTACACGAAAATCACATGAATTTTATGATTTGCAACGTGTGGTTACATTGCTTTTTTTTGTTTTGAAAGATCTGGTAGTCCGGCTTGGCATTAAATAAGAAGGGTTCCAGAATTCAACGTCTTACAAGCGCGAGAGGCGCTGCCTCCCGCAGTAGACCGCTGCACGAGGTTTAGGAGAAACTGTGCTAATTACTCACTAAGGGGTGAGCTACCAAAAGGGGGCTGAGTACTTCCCCTCCCACCAAGGCCCAAGTGGAGCATCCTTCACTGTTTTCCACGACCAGGGACTGTGCAGACTTCCAAGTGTTCCTAAAGATTACAGCATATCTTTGTTTCTAGATGCACCACAGTGTTAGGATTGGCAGCGTGTCTGTTTGCTTCGTACTCACAGGTGTTATATGGCGAGGAACCAGCCCTCCATGTCTACAACATCCGTACACCTTGATGTGTGCAGATTGTGGCACTTGCTCCAGATGACATCATTTGGCCAGCAAACCGAGTAACATTCGCTACCTCTGGAGTTTCAACAACCATATACACCTTTCCCAACGTCATCTCTGGCAACAGTACGTTCTACCAAGTGTTCCACCATGAACTTTTAGCCGATCTTACCACCAAGCCCCAAACAGCACATCACACTGGAAAATAAACCAAACTCAAACGGTAGAAGAGACCGGCCGGCGGTGGCACAAATCTAGGATACATGGATAACTAATCCAAGTGCAACATCCTCTGCCTTGGTCACAGCACCATCATGGGATCTCTATCTCAGCGACCCCCGACGCCGCTGCCATTATTGCAGCTAGGGCCTTGGAGAGCTTCCTGTTGCCCATCTTCATCGCAGCCTTTATTGCCTTGATTGCCTACTTGGGATCTTGTCCAAACATGTCAACGAACTCTGTGACTGCTGCTGCATCCGGCGCCAGCGACTGCCCGTTGATGAAGTCCAACTCACGATAAGCTTGCGCTGCGCCACCGGCACAGGGGATGGACGACAGGAGGACAGATGCAGACTGGAGCGGGTGGAGGCCTGTGTCCTTCTGCGACCTCTGGTACCCGGCAGGCTGGCCTGCCGTGGTGGTGAGGCTGGCCTCAGCAGCACCGGCTCAGGATCATTTCTGAACATCGGTTACGTTGCTTCCCTGGTGCATTTCTCCTAGTATATAAAAAAGTACTATTTTTATGGCTGCTTTTCATTTTCGGAAAATGATTTTCCTAGAGACGGACCTGTTGCCAACTACATTTAGGAAATTGACCTCCAGAGACAGTACCAAACATGACCTGTCTATGAATTATTCCTCGACAAAATAAATCTAGTCTTGCGCTATATCCTCTGAAGAATCAATTACTTGCATTGGCGCCGACGGCCAGCATGTCTGCTGGGTTGGCGCACACTGGTGGTATATATATCGAAATGCAGGGCGGCCAGAGGACTTAATTAGGATTATTCTCTCTGGATCTGCATCATATCCAACGCTGCATGCCACATGCGGATTGTTATATATAGCGTGGACTTAGATGGGTCGTGACTCGTGAGTCCGCTTGCTGCTACCCTAAAAACAGTGATGTCTATATCTTCCTATGGAAAGGTCATGACAACTTTACATGGTTATACTTAACACACACATAAACAAACAAGAATGTAACGTTTTCATATATGGCTATAATATAAAATCGAAAAAAGTATTTGTCAAAATGAAAGCAAGCGCGCATCTTTAGTGGGCAGTGACGACTAGTACGTGGTAGGCATGTGCACACTATGGCAGAATCCCAAACTTCATCACAGAGGAGAAAATCCTCCGCCTGTGATGTGACAGCATCGTAAATGTGTTTCTGCCAGTTCGTGATGATAACCCGTCTATGATTGCTGTCATCACAGACAGATATCTAACCCGTCTGTGAAGACAGTTAAACAATTGCCTATGATTAATACATCACAGACAGTGTAATGACCCGTTATTTGGGATGATCATCACAAACGGGTAAAAACCTGTTTCTCTCATATCTAGAGGTGAAATGGGTCAGGATAAATCCCATTCCATTCCATCCCGATTTCTACATTTAACCTATTTCAATCCGTATTGACGGTCATTCCAACGATTTTTTATTTTTCCATTTTTGGTAAATTTGAAAACAAGATGAAAACAATATAGCTTTTTTCCAACCATTTTAGCTTTTTTCGTTTTTTTGCCAGCATATCCTGCTTTTACCCGAATAGGACATCCATTTTATGAAGCGCAATAATGCAGTATAGTCGGTCAAGCCACATCAGAGTAGCCTTGTCTAAGGCAGACTAGTGATTGGCTTGTGTTATTCACTTATGATCTTGAACTCTTATCACTACGTGAAACACGTGATTTGCCGAGTGCAAAAATCTTTGCCGAGTGCCAAATTTCGGGCACTCGGCAAAGACCTGCTTTGCCGAGCGCCGCACTCGGCAAAATATGGCACTTGGCAAAGAGGCCTTTGCCGAGTGCCTGGCACTCGGCAAAGACCTACACTCGGCAAAGGCTGTCTTTGCCGAGTGCCAGGCACTCGGCAAAGGCAGACACTCGGTAAAGATTGGTAGGGGCCTAACGGCATCCAGCGGCGTCCTCTTTGCCGAGTGCCCCCCGTTTGGCACTCGGCAAAAAAAATTTTTGGTTTTTTGCCACCAATTTTTCTTGAAGCTTTAGTACACTACCACAAACAACATGTTTAAATTTGGGACATTTTCATTGTCTTTTGGCATATTTCTATAGTTTATTTTGTTTTGTTGAATTTTTCCAGAAAATGTAAGTTTGAACATCGAATAATGGATTACATTCATTCAAAAAATGTTATCCTTGTTTCTTAGTGTAAATTTAGGCTAAATCCAGTAACTGCCTCGAAATTTCGATCAACGTGCTCACGGGGCAACGCCGCCAACTTGCGTGGGAGTGGTTTTTTAATTGTATAAAATGCGAACGAATTCCGAAAATCATGAAACTTGTCGAGTTGTCTCCATATCGTATGCGTATGCCGTGGAAAAAATTTGAAAACGTTTCGACCACGTTGTCACGTACGATGCTCACAAACCAGGACATCTCCACATGTGATATCGTATGCGTATATATACTCTTGTCACCTTATGAATCCTACGGTATAAATTAGAATATTTATCTGATGGCAATGTTGCCTTGCCAGGTTGGTTAGGTTAGTACGTCAAGTCATGTTTCTTAGTTTTATGTGTCTACATTTCTGTTTGTCTTTCTGTATCTTGACCGATCCGACACTTTTTCGTTTGAATTGATCCATTTTCGATTTCTGGTGAATCACCATTTTAATTCTCGTTTCCAGCCATCCTTGATTTTAATTTTGTTTCCGTAATAAAATGTGAATGTGAAAACAGGAGAGGGTTTATCCTGGTTGATCCCGTCCATTTTCATCCCTAGTGATGCCACAGTTCATCATAGATTCCAACACTCAAACGGCTGCTTCACCCGTATAGTTAATACTCTTCTGTGTTAACACTCTAATGTAATCTATATCGTAGATGGGGCTTTATAACGTCCCATCTGTGTTTTGTTTATTTCATAGCCGGTCGCTATAAGACACGTATGTGGGCAGCCTCTATGTCAGATGTAGTCTTTTTATAATCCCCGTCTGTGACGATCGGAGGTCACAGAATGATGACCACTTGATTAGAGACGTGGATTCTTTATTCATGTCTTTGATCTAGCGGAACTACAAGCACCGATTATAATAATCAATTCACAGGCAATTTTCATAAATCATAAACAGTTCAATATATATCACGTCTAGGTAAAAGTTGTTGACACACCAACTTTAGTACATTTTTTTTTTGCAAAAGGTGGCACAAGCTGC